AAAATCGGTACTATAATTCGCAAGTTCTATAATTTATTTATTCTGCATTTTTTTTTATTTGTATTTTTCGAACGATTAAGTACCAGTTTTGATTATAATTAACGAATTCACGCTGAAATATGTCGCTTTATACTTTTTCTGGTTTCAGACTTAGCTCCGCAAATTGCAATTTTAAATCACATTCGTCTGTCTTCACTAAAATAGTGAAGAACTGAAGTTCTTCACAACTTCTCCATAGCGCTTGTTAATGCATTTTACCCTGAGTTTCCCATCTTGGCCGCTGCGGTTCTTCTTCTTTTTTTTCCCTCTTTTTTTTCCACATGTATATTACAGTTTTTCCAGCTACCTTTTTCATTTTTCGTTCACAACTATACGTTTTATAATTCCAAATCACTTTTGTTTCTTCTCGTTCATGTTTAGCAAGTCTTGAAAATGGGCGCCTGTTTTTGAACTTTTGAAAAAATTTTGACAATAAATTTTGAAAAATGTCAATTCGCCTATTTTTGAAGCTAATAATGCTTTCAATCAAGCAATCGTAATTAAATTTCCGATTCACGATTTTTCATAAAATCATTTATTTGTTGAGAATTCATATCTGTAATAATCTCTCTATTCTAAAAAAAAGTTTTTGCAGTTAATTTTGTCCCCTGAAAAACTTTTTAACTACGTGATGAAAATCTAAGATTAAGGAATCNAATGGTGACTGATGCACGCTAAATCTGTCGAGTCTCAAAGTCCTCCATGTTCCCATAACTAATCAATACCTCTGGGGGCACCGATCCAGGAGTTCCCTTGTCTTCTGGATTGGTTCAAAATTACAAGGCTATGGCGTTGAACATTAGTAGTCTTAAACCCAAAAATTGGGTCGACTGTTCAACGGCGGTCATAAAATAAAATAAAACCCTTGATGTTTAGATTCGTTAAGAATTTAAACTAGTTAGTTCGGGAGAAATTTTAAATATTTTTAAAACTAAATTATTTAGTTAAATTTTTGAGAATGCCTAATGTTAGTCGTGGAAGAAAAATTTACTTTTTTAAAAGTCCCGCATGTATACCACCAATAGCATAAATTATGTTTACTAGTTCACAGATTAATTAATTTAAATTCGAGTTTCAAAAAGTGGTCAAGGAGAGTTTCAATAATCTGACCAGCGTCCTCCTGAAACTAAAATAGATTTCTATACAGATCTTTGAAAAGTCGTTACTTTACCTTTTCAATTTAATATTTTAATAATAGAAATTCTTCGTAGAGATTCCGCAACAAAAATAATTCTTTTAAAATAATTAGAAATTTAAAGAGGGGAGTTTCGGATGTTTTTTAGGCGGAAGCTTTTTAGCTAAGTTTCAAGGAACGTGTTTATTATACAGTGTATTGTTACGATTTTGAAATGCGTTTCTATCAATATGAATAACGTAAAATTAATAGTTCAAGCTAAGCACTAAAGTACCAATTCATTTAGAAAATTGTTTAAATGTGGATGGTGTGGTAATTTTGACTATCATGTAATTTTGACTATCATAAATTCAAGAAAAGCATGACATTTTTTTCCTCAAATTTATCAATAATTTATTTTAATGATGAAGAAATTTTAATGATTTATAACTGTTTCTCTTAGATCTAAATTACAGCAAATAATTAAAAATTATTGTTTTGAAGTGAGCCGTGTTTAAAAGATATTACCTTTAAAGCAGAAAAAAGGCACCGATGTTTAATTGAAATAATTTCATGGAAGTTATATAGGCTCCTAAGCATATAGCGTTACACTTTTTGGTTAGGAGCAGCCATTTTTACTAAATAACATGCTCCCTGAGAGCTGCACAAAACTAAAATCAGAAATTTTGAAGGAATATTACTGAGTCCTGTTGGCTCAGGAAAAAGAAAGTTCGCCTTCCAATGTGGTGAACCGGGATCCAAACAGCAGCTATGGCTGGTTGGTACGAATTCCGCATCCGGCTCGCACCGATCACTGTGGTGACGTAAAATATCCTCTGTAGTAGACCGATCATGGGTTAGAGTCTCCTTGCCGTCAAGCTAGCCGTGAGATGTTTTCGTGGTTTTCTTCTCATTGTTACGCGAATGCTAGTTCCATCAAAAAATCTTCCCCGAAAGTAAATTTCTCACAATACTTGATCCAGGAGTTCCCTTGTCTTCTGGATTGGGTTCAAAATATTACAAGGCTACGGAGTTGAACATTAGTAGTCTGAACCCAAAATTAGGTCGGCTGTTCAACGACGCTTATAAAAAAAATAAAAGGTTATGATTATTCAGAAAAGTCCAATTTCAAACTGATCATACATACTCTTCGAATCCTATGTAATGGTAAGTAATCCATATTTCACTATTCCTTTGACAACAGATTACGCCCTGGACCTTCTGGATTAATAATAGGTCGTCCTCTGTCATTCTTTCTTCATTTATAGTGAATTCAAGACGTTTCACGTTTATTGAGCGGTAACATCAAAAGAAAAAGTGCTTTGAATAGTTTTCTCGAGAATTTTTTCATCGATTAACTCATTGTTAATGAAAAAATGCTAGTTTTTTAAAAAGGCAAAAATGTGTAACACCTGTTTCTGGAGTGATTTCTGCACAGATTAAAAAAATAACTGAAACAAAATTTCGGTCGCTGTATTGAAATAGGTGGTTCAGAACGGACGTTCTAATAGGCGTTTAAATAAAAATTGCGTCTATGGAACTTTATGTCGCGGTCGTTATAATGGAAGGGTCTTACTAATGTGTGTCGTACTAAAGAGCGTAGACTGTATAAACTGTGCTTTATTATAATAAAATTCGAATCTTCCATGCTAATTATTAATGGTGTTAAAATAAATGAGCCATTTAATACAGAATTTAACGATCATTCAAAATTTATGTACAAAATTAACTTTTGATAGATTTCTTTTCGCACGGTTTATAAAATGATTTATTGATCATCGTTTTCACTCAGGTAATATATTTTGATTATGAAGATTCATAAAGTGTCGTAAAATTTAAGTCAATTTCCTAACAACATTTGAGATTGAATAGTTTACATAGTTTATATATTTATGCATATTATGTTTTATAAAAATAACTTGAGAGTTTGCATATTGAGTTATGTTTCATTAGAAAAAGTTTTACAAAAGCTAGGTAGTAGTACATATGATTTGATAAAATAAATGTATAAGAAAAATCTATGTGAAACAGTTAAATTTTTATTTCATTCTGTTTTTGTTTTCTTTTTTTTTCCTCATAAATAGTTCATGACATTCAGCAGAATCACAAATTTCGATTATTTCAGCTGAAAACCTTCTGCCAGTTAGAAGTGGTTCAAAAGTTTAACTAATTTACCAAAACTTTCAAATATATACGCAGTCACCACCGTAAATTCGTATTTTTAGAAATCCTTAAAAAATTTTAGTTAAATAAATATTGGAGGAGGTGAATGATAAATATATTAAGTGAAGAAAAAGGAATTCGCCACTGAAATTTGGTGAATCACAATCTACCGTCTTCGAACAGCCGATCCAATTATGAGTTTACGACTACCAATGCTCAATTCCGTAGCATTGAAATTTTGAATCCAATTCGGAAGACAAGGGAACTCCTGGATCAATATATTGGGAGAAACATTGCATTCGTGGAAGAATTTTTAATGTAACCAACTTTTTAATGCATTACATGGAGAGGAAACACTTGAAAACCTCTCACGGTTATCCCAGCGACAAAGGAACTGCGATACATGATCTCTCTCCCACTGGGTATATTTTACGTCAACACTATGGTCGGTGCGAGCAGAGTGCGGAATTAGTCATCACTGGTAATCAAAACCGGTTTATAAAAAAAAACTCATTGTGAGGTGAGCACTCTATCCACTGAGCTACCACGGCTCAAGAAGATAGGATTGAAAACATCAAAATCTGTTTGATTTAGCGAGGAAACAGAGAGAAGTTGAAAAGCAATTATTAGTACTACCCCTAAGTTTCATCTGGCAATAAAGCTGGTTTTTTAAATTTTTTGCAATCTCCTTTCTTCAATAGTGATTTATTATAAGTCGATTGTGTTTTCCTTTGTCAATACTAATTTGAGACCTCCAATACGGAAAGAAGTACTTTAATAATCTGAATAAATGGCTGTATATTCCGCATATTTCTTTTGCACGCTTTATATGTTAACGCTGTTTATTAAACGATAGCAAAGAGCTATCAAGGTTTTTTTTTGGGAGAGACTCAGTATAAAAAGCATGCTTTGGAAAACGGGTATCTATTTTTTTGCTCAAAATTAAATAAATAAGCAACTGCTCAAGTTTTACGCAAGCTCCTGACAGAAGGAATATGTTTATGGCTTCCTTCTTTTTGCTGACAAGGATGGTGGGGGAGTGGTATCAATGCTTTCGTGAGGTATTAAAAACTCCCTTTCAATTCTTTTTTTAATGAAAAAAAAATGCAACAAAGAGATTTAGAGAAAAATTTACACTTGCTAAAGTTTCAATTTTGAAACAAGAGATAAGTTAAAGGAGAGAAAAAATTTCCTTCAGGAGTTTCGGAGACTAAGAGTTTTAATAGATGATAGAAAACATAAAAGATTACTAAAGAATATTCCAATCAAAATTTTAAATTTTCTTTAAAATTCCAAGTTACATTGTTCATTAAAAATTAATCCTAAAATTAGATTACTACAGTAAACGTCAAAGTTAACGCAAAAAACAAGGGGTGCTGCGACTTAATTATGCAAGCAATGAGAGTGGTTTGTGATTGCCTATTTTTGCAGAGATAAAGGTGATAGAAGTGCAAAATATTCAAAAACATGCTTAAGTAATATTTAAATGAGCCTTACCTGAGTCCCTAACAAGTAATACTTTATACCACACTAAAAAATGGATTTATATCGAGATGAATAGTTAAAATTTTGAGTGAATAAGTTGCTCAACGCAAAGCTTCGTTCTGAAAAATCTTATTTTATTGATAATGCATAGTTTATTACACTTAACATACTGGATTTATGAGGCCTATTATTATCCTACCTTCAAATTCCTTTTTCGACATGTTTTGAATTAAAGACTTTAAGTAGCGTTATCAGTTTGTGACTGTTTTTTTCGACTGCTTTGGCGAGAACTCGATGACCTCGCCAACGAATCTCTCATTCTTCTGAGTGTAGAGAACACTAAAGTCAGTTCATATCTTGAACTGCTAGTACTTGATGGTCTTCTGCTCTTTCGCTTCAGGTGGAAAGCGCCGTAGATTATAGGGTTAAGCACAGCCGTAGAGCTTCCAAAGAAGAAGATGGCATCATTGAGATCTTCTCCCAGTTGTTCGTCGGGCTCAAGAAACACTGTTATGATCATGCTTATGTAATATGGTGTCCAGCATACCATGAAGGTTGTGACAATGACCACTGTGATCCATAAAGACTTAACCTTAGCTCTACGAAGTATTTTGTAACGAGCATCCTCAAAGAGATTGGGAGAATCACCGAACACTCTTTTCTTACCTTAAATAAATAAAAAAAATTTAAAGGTATTAGTTCTTTTTCTGCTAACTTCACCTGTGTAAAACAATATAGTTTTATTTGTGTTAAAAATTATTATAATTTTTTATTAAATGAAACGTAATGATATTATAGGCTGAAGAGCAACTGTCCTATAACTCTTTCAGTGCTGCCAAAGTGTCAATAGAAACAACAACTATAACTTTGTGATCTAAAATTTAAATTTAAGATTGCACACTCAGTAAAATTGGTTCATTGTTGAAACATAATATAGGTGTTTTGAACTATAATATCTCTTGATCTTTAGTGCAACCTTTATAAAATGATAATTATATTTTTGTTCAAGTTGAATTTTAGTATCATGAAATCAAATTCCAAAAGGATTATTTCGCAATTTCTTTTAGGCACCGTATTTAAGGCTTCAGGACGTTTGAATGATAGTATAATTCAACTTGCACGCAAAGTTCTAAAGATTAGAAATTGCTGAATACTTCCAGTATTGAAATTTGTACAGATTAGATTATTGGCAAATTACTGAATACTTCTAGAACTTACTGGCAATAGTTAGAAATGTCGTAGAGTATGTTGCAATGAGTAAGATTAATAGAATGATGAACATAAACAGAAGACTGATAGAAGGTAAATTACTGAATACTTCTAGCACTTACTGGCAATAGTTAGAAATGTCGTAGAATATGTTGCAATGAGTAAGATTAATGGAATGATGAACATGAACAGAAGACTGATAGAAGTGTACAACTGCTCTTGCCAAGCTGCTGTGTAAAAACCGTATGTGACGCATTGGTAGAACTCTTCTTCGAAAGGACCTTTCACTACACGGAATATCACAACCTGTAAACCACAAAGAAAAAGAGATTTAAATTCTAGCTAAAATAACAGACTCGAAATAACAAATATCGGTTGACTAAAGTAATTAAAGTAAATTCTGTATGGTATTTAAATTCCGTCTGGTTTTATTTAGCACACAAAATAAAGACTCTAATTTCTATTACAAAATAAATTATGTTTGACCCATTAATACGCATAAACTGTTTCTGTTATGCAACATTGGAAATGAATTTGATTAAAAGTTAAATGTTTCATTGATATGGCATTTGAAAGTTTTCATTTTAGTTGCAACAATAATAGTTGTGATAATTTCATGACATCTGTTTTTGTTAATAAATTGCATTGTATAAATCATCGTAATAGAGCCAACGTTTCATAACCATAAATAAGATGGTATTCAAACTGCTTGTGAGAAAACTGTTAACTGATTTCACTTAATACGGTTATCCAACAAGAATTTTATCGCTCAAACTAAGCCCACTTATAGAAGACACTTAGTTCCATGCAGCTGGGTACATATTGTAGCCAAGAGGACCAATCTGTCAGTCTCATGACTGAGAGAACAGAGGTTCGAATCCCAGCGTTGACACCCCAATATTTCCTCATCACATGATAAGTTTCGCATGTCCCAGTTTGTGACCTTGGGTAGTTAGAACCCGATACTCACATTCACGCATGGATAGCAGCATCATAAAATTGCTAAACTATCTCCCATACCTAGTTAAATTCATTTTTTTACGTTTTTTAAACCATGTTAGTTATAAGTAAATAAGAAACCATATAGTTTTGCATTAATGGTTCTTTGACCATTCTAGTTGGAAACTGTTTCGAAACCGTAAAGGTAAAAAATGTTCTTTAACGTTAACTTTACGGTTAAAAGGATGGGTAGACTGCTGCCGGTTATTTTATTATAATTTTAGAAAGAAAATTCTAACAGTGCATTTACATACTTGAAACTGTTTCTGTTATGTTACATTGGAAATGATTTGATTGAAAGTTAAATGTTTCATTGAAATGATGTTTGAAAGTTTCCATTTTTGCTCCTACAATAATAATTTTGATAATTTCACAACATTTTTATTAATAGATGGCATTATATAAATCAATGACAATTTAATATTTAATATCTGGAGTATAACTTTTATTATATGTTTACTTTAATTGTAATATAAGCATTCCCGCCTAACTTAAAACGACATGTTTGTTGATGTAGCATAAATTGTTTTTGTATTTCTATCAAAGCTTAGGTAAATATGGTTTATACATAAATTCATCTTATATACATTTGTATTCTACATCAGCGGTTTCCAAATTGTGTTCCTTGGAGCCTTGAGGCTCCATGGTAGATTCGCAGGTATTCCGAGTGTTCGAATTTTTTAAACTAGAAACCTGTCATTATCTTTATATGCAAGTCGACCGGAATGTCTAGTGGTCAGGAATCTGACCTCTCATCAGAAAGGTCCTGGGTTCAAATCCGAGACAAGACATGAATGTTCTTTCATTCTTTGTACTAACTGCCCTTACTGTGGGACGTCGGCCCCCTTAATATGGTTCCTCTGGAAAAGTGGCCAAAAAATCCGCCCTGCTGAAACCTGAATGACGAGTGTCAATCGAGTGGGCATTGATGAAAAAAATATGTGTACTTAAACATTAACCCCTCATTTATTGGACATTTTGGTTATTTTTTATCGAATAATTTAAGTAAAATAGTAAAATATAAATAAAAAATGAAGTAGCAAAACTTTATTAAAAATATTTCTTCCAATAACAATATATTAAATAAATTATGGAAAGAATATGCATTTATTAAATACTGCATTTTTATTTCTTATTGAAATTTAGATCAATATTAAATGATCAAATCCTAGAATAAAGAATTATGCTTCTCTGACAACCATTTTCAACATTTATTGCAGTTCTTTTCTTAATTCAGCCTACTTTATTCATTTTCAGCTTATGTATACGCCAAAAACAAATCTAGAACTAGTCTAGATGTCATTCTAGCTCTGAGAATTCAACTGTTTGAGATAATTTTTATAATTTTAAAATTATTATTGATAAAAGTATGATTGAATAAATTTCACTCTTCACATTAAATCTAATCAAATTATTTTTTTTAATATAGTCATGGCGTACTAATTCTGTTTACTAACTTTGCGTTCAACCAAAACAAGTTCAGCCATTTAAAGATCCGCAACCGTAAAAAAATTGAGAACTACAATTATAAACTTAAAAATTTCCTTTGAAAAAAAAAGGTATCGTTTGAATTATTACTTTTTATATCTTTAGTTACTTATATAATCTCTATTATATTAATTTTAATAAAAACTGATTGAATGTGAGTTATAAGTAGAGCCCGGAAGTTCAGGCAAAATGCCATAAATGCCCTTTTCTGCCTTTTTTAAACGTTTTCTTCTGAAAATGCCTTTTTCTTTCCTTTTGTTCATAAATGCCTATTTCTGTCTAATTTAAAATTTTTCTGCAAAGCTTTTTGTGCTTTTGACCGAGCATAAACGCAAAATGAAGAAATTTTGAAGTACAGAAATGGTTGACTGTCATCCGACGTATTGTAATGCATTTATAGAGATTAGGACTTTATTCCTTTTGTCTTATTAATATTTTCTCTCCGTCTCTTCGTGGCGTCACCTTCGTCGTGGCGTCACCTTCGCCCGATGCGCTTTGCAAGGAGAGAGAGAAAGGGAGTGAAAAGATTGGAGTTATTTTTACTTACAGTCAATAGAATTTATTCTTACTTACGGCCCATATAGCCTACACCATCGAATAACTCGTATGCTCTCTTATCTACAAAACGAATTCACCAAGCTGGTTGAGCACATTGTAGCAGGAGCACGAAAAAGTTTTCTAGTATACTAGTTATTTCTAAAATGCCTAAAGTAAAAGCCTGCACAAGCAAAAAACTGGACAGTTTTGTGAAAGAATTTGGGTCGGATGTGTTTTCTACTGATGGGAGCATTCTGTTTTGTAAGGCATGCGAGAAGTCAGTAAATTTTGAGAAGAAGTATTTTATATCTCAGCACTTGGAGACATCTAAGCATAAAACAGCAAAAGATAAAAAAGATGGGAAAACATCGACTCTGATTTCCACCTGTTTTCAATTATCTTCTCGCAAATCGGAATTTGCAATGGATTTATGCAGATCATTTGTAGATGCCGGCATTCCGCTGTGGAAACTTGAAAATAAAAGTATACGAGCTTTTTTGCAAAAATATACGAATCAAAGTGTGCCCTGTGAATCAACTTTAAGGAAAACTTATTTAGATGACTGTTATACCGAAGTTCTTAAAACTATTCAAAATGAAATCGGAACGAAAAACATATGGCTATCTATAGATGAAACGACAGATGTAACTGGACGATATGTTGCGAATGTTATTGTTGGTGTTATGGACCCATTTGAAAAACATAAAATCTTTTTGTTGACATCTGAACAGTTGCAAAAGACTAACAGTACTACAATTGCACAGTTGTTCACTAATGCACTGGCTTTACTTTGGCCAAATGGTACTGAGCATGAAAGAGTGCTATTATTTCTTACAGATGCAGCCTCCTACATGAAAAAAGCTGGAAATGCCTTAAAAGTTTTATTTCCTAATATGATCCATCTAACGTGCCTTGCTCATGCATTGCACAGGATAGCAGAGGAAGTAAGAGGTCTCTATCCTGAGGTAGACTCGCTTGTTTCTAGTGTGAAAAAAGTATTTGTGAAAGCCCCTTCAAGAGTTCAAGTGTTCAAAGAAATTGCACCAGACATTCAATTACCTCCTAAACCGATCCTTACGAGATGGGGAACATGGATTTCAGCAGTCTCATACTACTGCACAAATTTTGAGGAAGTTACTCGAGTCCTTACCAGCTTTTCGGATGAAGAGGCAATATCCATAAGAAAAAGTAAAAATCTGCTTAGCAGTTCTAAAATTAAAAATGAACTGACTTTTATTTCAACTTATTTTGGGAAGCTCCCTGGAGCTATTGAACACATGGAAAAAAGAAATATGTCTTTGTCCGAGTCACTAAAGATTTTCGACAATACTATTGAAGAACTAATGTCTGTGCCTGGACCATCTGGTGACATAATAAGGAAGAAATGTGAAAACGTCATCTCTGCAAATACAGACTTTGAATGCATCAAGGACATTGCAAAAGTACTTTCTGGTGATACTACAGTTGAACTTACCATATCTCCTACCATGGCAAGTTGTTTTAGGTACGCGCCCATAACTTCTGTCGAAGTAGAAAGATCCTTCTCTTTGTTTAAAACTATATTGACTGACAGGAGACAAAATTTCTCTTTCGAAAATTTGAAAAAGCATCTAGTTGTGATGTGCAACAACAACCAATCATCAGAATAAATCTGCATACAATATTATTGTAAGTACGAGTTTTAAATTTTTATTTCGCATCTACGCAGTTGAGGTTTTTTTTTGTGCAATTATGTCCACTTCTTTTGTACTATTGCTACGACAGTCGAGTGAAATGAATATGTAGGTATACCGGATACTTCTAGCAACTTTTTTTATACCTTGGATACCTATATGGGCTTTTAGGCATTACCAACTACCATTTTGCTCCAATTTTAAGTACCTTTTTTAAATGCCTATTTCAAGCTTTTTAAATGCTTTTTTGCCTGCCTATTTTTGCATTTTTTATTGCCTGAAATTCCGGGCTTTAGTTATAAGAGATACTTAGTAGAAAAATAAGAACAAAAGGGTAAATATTAACTTTCGCATTATGCCTAAGGGTTTTTTTAAGAAGTTAAATTTGTATACTTTCTACTTTGTTTCATGAATAATAAAGTTGAGTTTTTAATTAAATTTTCTAAATTTCTTAAGAAAGTTTTTCATTTTAAATTTGGTTTAAAAGAATATGAGATATATAATACTGAAAAGAATTTACTTCATTCAAATCTAGTCAATTATCAATTGGAAGTTAATTTTTCAAGAAATTTAATGAACTAATATTTGAAAAGAACAACAAGGACCTTT